ATAGAAATCATTGTCAGAAAGCTCAAGATGAGATAGTTTTGTGTAAAATCAAAGAGTGAATTATGTAATTCTGAGTTGAGCATGTTGTGAGAAAGATCAAGAGTTACCAGTGATGTCAAATTGACATAGCTGAGGGATGAAAAATCTCTCAACTCATAACTGCTCAGATATAACTCAGAAAGCGAAGGTATCAAAGAGATATAATAGTGCCAATTGGTTTCATTTCCAACACTAGAGTAATAAGGTCTAAATATTTTAAAGAAGAAAGTTGAGAAATCCAATGAGGATCATTTATTCGCAAATGATAATTATGCGAAAAATCTAGGTGAAGCAGAGGAGAAGATTTGGAGACTGGCGTTGAGGAATACTCACAAATTCAAATCGATTATGGCTCAGATCCAAGTTGATGAGAAGTTCAAGTTGAAGAAGAGATAGATTAATCCCACCTTGTAAGCCATGGCGAGCTAGATCAAGCTCTGCAACTCTGCCATTGATATCACACAGAACTCCAGACCACAAACAACAATCTTCAGGACTAGTCCATGAAAAGAGTTTGTTTAAAGGATCCACCACTCCTTGATCAAGAGTGGTCCTCGATCATTCTCGTTGCAACGAATCGCATTGTTTGTTTTACATTGCCTGTTGCAAGCAAAAGAAACAAGAAACAATTGAAGTTTTTGAAGTGAAGCAGACCATCATGGTTGACTTGAGCAGAATGAACACAACCTAGTCTTTATGTGATATATATATATATATATATATATGTGGAGCAACGTGAACAATTAGTTTTTTAAAGTTTATAACAGGTTAAAAACTAAATAATCAACTAAAAAGCCATTCCTTTTTTGAGCTTGCAAACACCATCTTAAAATCTCCACTTACCCCTAAATTTAGACATGTTGAATTGTAAATCATAAAATTTTAGTTGTAAATTTGCACTAAGAACCAGCTGTAAATATAATCCCATAAAAACCGCATTCTCCTCTTATATTTACAGTCGGTGCTCATCAGATTGTGTAGGCAATAAGGCTGACCAATTCAACGGTAATTGCAAATTTTTTGTTTTCAGGGAGAGATTAGGCAAGGAAAATAAAATTTTTTATTTTATATTGATATTGATGTGCCTTACAATCAATCATAGAAGTGTAATATAGGAAATGTTAATAATGTAATTGGCTTTACCGATTTTCCCTTTCAAGAGGAGATTAGGCAGGGAATACTATATCTCAAGTTTTGTTTTTATTTTTCAATTTGACCAGTTAATAGCTACGTCTACTTGTTAACAACAAAATTAATTAATTTTACCCCAAAAAAAAAAAAACTATTACGCTACATTGTTTTGTAGTGGGACCGATTATAGTTTTTATGTTTTATACTGAGATTAATGCCGTGCCGGCCCCTAATCATTTTGCCTCAATAATGTAATTGGAGGAATCAATCAACAATTTTACTAATAATTTTTTTGCCGGACAGTTTTACTAATGATATCCCATATAATCGTTAGGAACAATGACAAGAAAAAAGTTGAAAATTTGTAAATACCAAATAAGGAATGTTAACAAAAATTTGTTGTTATTTGCAAATTTAGAATTATCAATATCAAATAAAGTTGTGTTATCAAACCTCATTTAGAATTTGCAATTTCCAACTTCTTTTTTTGTCATTGTCTCTAATCTTTATTATTATATATTAATTTTGTTGGGTCTTGTTTCTAGCTATAGCAGCATTTTTGGAAAAAAAAAAACATACATAACAAATCCAAGTAGACGTCACACTTACACCAAAAAAAAAAAAAGGTGTGACGAGTTGAAATATGAGGAGACCATATTCTTTAGGCTTCATATGAATGAACTTTTTTCTATTCATATATCTAGACTTACTTACAATACTAAATATAAAGCCTTGGAAAATATTTCATAGAATAAAGTCACTAGCTTTTTGTAGAAATTTTGACAAAATCTCCCTTAAAAATTGGATTTCTCAAAAATTCTACAAATCAAAATGGAGAAGGGTTTAAGTGTAATTAAGGGATCTCCCAAATCCTATTATTTGTTAATGACTCTGTTATTTCGTACAGGATAATTCAAAATGAAACAGAGCATCTCAACTATGTGGAACAGAGCAATCACATGAAACACTATTTATCAAAAGTTTCTTAACAATACGAGACACACATACTACACGCACTTATCACTATTATTACAACATATTCTCTTCCCGAAATTCACTAAATTTAAGATAACAAAAGGGCATTCAATAGGCAACATCTGAATCCTTGACCACGCGTAACAGCACTCCTCAGCTTATTCCTTGAAGCAAACTCAATATTTGAAGGAGAGGAATGATCAGAGTAGTGATAGCTGTTTCACTTGCATCCCATATTGAAAAATAAACAAGATAGAACGTAGTCAGCTAAGAATAGAATGTTTTAGCAAGTAGAAGAAGATGCAATGGAAAAAGGAAAATGAAACCTCATTAAAATAATAACATTACTTAAAGAATTAGGGCAGCTAATTTATTACCTCGAGGAAAATTTGTTATTGATATTCAACCAAAGCTTTTGAAACAGAGGGCCAAGGCAACATAAAGTTGATCTGTCAAGTGACCAAACCATCGGAAAAATTTGTGTCTCCATGCTCTGATGAGGAAGAGAGAACCACAAACTCCCCAAAAGCCCACTGCAAATCCAACCCCCATGCCAAGATACAATGACTTTAGAAAGCTGTCATCTTCATCTTCTTCAGCTAGCTTTGAGCCATGAGTTTCTTCCTTTTTGTTACACTTCTTTGGAAGAGGATCTCCACAAAGTTCGGGATTGCCAAGAAAACTCCAAGAATCAAAACTTTGAATTTGGGTTCCCGATGGAATTCGCCCGATGAAATTGTTGTATGAGAGGTTCAAATAAGCAAGAAATGACAAATTAGAGATGGTTGAAGGAATTTCTCCGAGAAGTTTATTGTAGCTGAGATCAAGAGATTCTAAGTATTTCATGCCTCCAATTTCTTTAGGAATTTTTCCAGTCAAATAGTTTCGAGACAAGTTCAAGGATAATATTTTACTCATACTAACCAGTTCTTCAGGAATTTCTCCAGACAAGCTATTAGCAGAAAGATCAATAATGCCACGTCCAAAACTTAGAAAACTATCAACTTGATAGGCTAATTTACTTCCTTTAGTAAATATGTGCACTATTGCAATAGACTGATCTATGATATAAGGTAGATGTTTGGCCCAAAAAGGAAGATCAGGTAGATGTTCGATGATGCGTAGGCAGTGAGGTATAGATCCAGAAAGCTTATTTTCAGCAAGATCGATTATGTTCAAATAAGAAAGTTCGCACAAGATTGTTGGAATATTGCCAGTAAATTGATTGGTCCTCAATTTAATAATTCCCAAATTCTCCGCCATTGGAATTGGCAAACTTCCAGAAAACTTATTTCGGTCTAAAAGCAAGTATTCCAAATTTGTCCAATTTAGCTTGTCTAATGAAAATTTTCCAAAGAAACCATTGTCACTCAAATCCAACTTATAAAGATTCAATGAAGTCAATGAGGGAGGGACTTTACCTGTTAGCTTGTTACTCCCCAAATTAAGGTATTTTAATTTTTTCCAATTGTTCCAACAATCGGGAAGTGTTCCACTCAAATTATTATGTGATAAATCCAACACCTCCAAGTTGGTTTCCTTTTCACTCTCTTGATGGCACAATAATGAGAAGATAGATCCTAACAAAGAGTTGTGAGATGCATCAAAGTAGGACATATTTGCTGATATAATGACATTGGATATATTATCACCACCAATCAAGTTGTTTGAAATATCAACTCTACCAATTCTTGATATAAAGCTCCAAAATACATCTGCATCAATGTTTGAAATTCCTGATGCTGAAATATTCAAATCACTTAAAGACCTTTGTGTATATAGCCACGGTGAAACATTATGACCTATGCTCGTGTTACCCAAATACAATGCCTTGAGTTGAAAAGGTGGGACCCTTTTAGGATCAATGTCAAATTCAAAACTTGTTGAACTTAAGTCCAGTGATATTAAATTTGAGAGATTAGCAAAATTCTTTTCAGTAAGAGCACCCACCAAGGAATTGTGTCCAACATGTAATAGATTTAAGTTACGGAGTTGTCCAAGGGTTTCTAAAAGGTTGCCACTCAATTGGTTGCAGGACAAGTCTAAGTAGAGCAAGGAAGAAATGTTTCCAAGAAATGATGGAATTACGCCATCAAACAAATTACCTCTGATATCCAAGTATTGCAACTGTTCATATTGGCCTAACCAATCTGAAATCAATCCTTCAAGATTATTAAAACTAAAATCTAAATACTTGAGGTTCTGAAGATTGAGCAAGGACTTTGGTAATTGGCCATGGAAATTGCAAAAACCAAGGTCAAGATGATGGATTTGATGGGTGATATTAAAAAATGAATCAGGTAACTTTGACTCCACCATATAATAATTATAAGAAAGATCAAGAACTTCAAGTGAGGTAAGATTGATATAATCAAGGGATGGAAAATCTCTAAGTCTACACCCACTTAAGTGTAACTTAAAGAGTGAAGGAAGCATGGCTATATGCTGGAGCCATTTGGTATCATCTCCAATATCACTGTCACTAAGGTCAAGATATTTTAAGGAAGAAAGTTGAGAAAGCCAATAAAGGTCATTTATGGCTAAACCATGATTATATGAAAAGTTCAGATAACGCAGAGCAACAGAGAAACTTGCAGAGTGATTGGAAGGAGTAGCAAGTGATTGGTTGTGAAAATTGTGAGCATCAAAGGGAGATTTGGAGATTTGGCATGATGGCATACTCACAGTTTCAAAGTCATTGTCGCTCAAGTCCACGTGGTTGAGAAATTTAAGTTGAAGCACACACAGACTAATCTCACCTCCTAATGAATGATTGAAGAGAGAAAGCTCTGTGACTCTTCCGGTGATGTTGTGGCAGTGAACTCCCTCCCATAAACAGCAGTCTTCTTCAACACTCCAAGATGAGAGTTGGTTGGTTGGATCAACCACTCCTTGTTTGAAGATTAAAAGCAACCTTTGATCATTTTCATTGCAACTCATCACCCTGTTTAATGTTGTTGCAAATAACAGAAGCAACAAAAGAAGGGAAATCTGTGAAGCGAAGCTAGCCATTGTGGTAAGTGAGTTTGAATATGATGGCCTCAATGAAGTCTTTACATTATATATATATATATATATATATATATGTATGTATGTATATGTATGTATGTAGACACACAAATATATTGGAAAATCTAAAGTAAACAAAAACTTAAATGCCTTAAAAAATTGATAACAGCGTGATATTTCTTGTTGTCAAGTCTAATAATATTTCTAAGTCTCCCCGTCTTTTCAATAGAAAATCGCGTCATGAATAAGAAAACACCACAGATATAATACATTAATATCATATATATTTAGATCCTTTTAAAACTAGCAGGTTTTAGGAAAAAAACTAAAGACAATTATGTGTAAAAATATTGAAGGCTAATAGCTCAGTGATTTTATTTTATTTTTAAAATGTTTGAAAACAAAACAAATCCTATATGGGCTCCATGAATGGCATGGAGCTTAAAGAATAATCACCACTATTTTATGACTTATAAATAAAATACTTAAGGCAAATTTTATATTTTATATTGTTATCAATTATAAAACGAGTCCACAAACACGCACTCACGTAATGAACTCAAAGTGAATTAATTTTATTTATTTTTGTTTTAGTCCAGAAGTGAATAAATTAATTCAGATAATCGAAATTCTAATAAATATTTTGCTCTGAAGTTTGATTTTCTTGGATCAGAAAGTGGACAAAATTTTAGTATGACCCGAAAATAATAAATCGTTTCTTATAAAATTTAATATAACCCAAAAAAAATCACAATAATTCCGTTCGGACTCCAACTTTTCCTTTTTATTCTTTTAAGCTTTTTTTTTTGCCGTAATTCTATTTAGCTTATTTATTTATTGCTTGCTGATTACTTATTTCCTTCCTATTCACATGCCTTCCAAATACACGACATGTACATTCATAACAAAACTAAGTACCTGAGCTAAAATTTAATATACATTCGGGCTTTAATAGGTTCTAAAAAAAATTGATCCCATATACAAAATATTTAATTGGCGTATAGATTTTACTTCTTCGTTTCTAAATATAAGATCCACTTTATAGTGTAATTTATACTACAAAGTAGGTCTTATATTTAGCATCGAAGTAGTATCATTTATGTTTTCTTGAACTGTGTTTAATTTGAATACATTATATATATTTAATGTAGGTTTGCAAGAAAAATTACCGTCGAAAGTTTGCATTAATTCACTATCTTTACTCCAAACACACCACAAAATCAGAGCTCTAAAATTCAAATGACATTGTACGTTGAAATAACAAAGCAAATGAAATTTTCAAAATGAACCTGTCATCATGATTTATTCGAGTAGAATTAATTCAATTAAGTTTTTATTTATATTACATAGTCACGATGTGCATATATAAGTTGTGAAAAATGAAAATCATTACAAATAAATTGTTTATAAGAAAATATTGAAAAAATAAAAAATGGATAAAAACCTATAACCATTTTTTTTAATGGTCAAGTCTTCTAATTCTCCCCAAGTCTTTCCATCTTTTCAAGAAAAAATTAGAATATTAAAACATTCATTTTCATATCATTTTCCATTCGTATCCTCTTTTTTTTATTTCCATAACCAAATCGTTTGAACGCTTCAAAAGATAAAAGTCGCTTAGGCAACAAATTAAAGTTTTTTTTCCCATTCAATTAGAGGATTTCTGCGAATACAACTTTTAGCTTTCAAAATAAGAAAAATATCGTATGAATTATTATTTAGACCTTTTATGTTCAGTTCATATTATCATCGACAACAACATCAATGACATTTGGTGCCATGGAGAAATTGCAAACAATTATACTACCTCTAATCCTAATTATAAGACTTTATTTGTAAACTACAAACTGTTTTAGATGTTTTTAGTACTTTAGTTTTTTCAAATTAGTTAACTAGGTTTCATTAATGCCCTTTCCAGAATGCTTATAAAGTCTTCGTCCCAAATTATACTCAATTTGAGTCTCTGGTCATTAATGAAACCCATCAAGAAGTAGCTTCCGTTGTTATCATCCCTTTGGATTTCTTTCGGTGGAAGAGATTTTGCCAATTTTTCCAAAAATCATTTTCTACCAAATTGCATTAATTAGTCCAAGAGCAATTACCCATGTTGCAATATGTTTTTTTTCAAGTCTTTAATCCTTTCCCAAGAAACTTCACAATTCTCAACTGTGGAATTTATTGGGACCCATACTAACTTGGATCATGCCAAAGAAGATTTAACATATTGAAGTCACTGCCCCTTCATGACGCTTGTAAAGTCTTTGTCCCAAACTATGCTCCATTTCGATCTTTCTACTTATTAATGAAACCCATCATAAGGCTTCCATTTTTATCATCTCTTTCAATTCCTTTGGTAAAAGAGATTCTCACCTCTAGTTAAATTGGTACTGGTACAACTTACCAGTTAAAACAGATGCTCAATGATAATAACGGAAATCAAAAGGAAGGGGAGTAATGTAATATACTGTGGTAGTAATTGAAACAACAAATTCTCTAAGTCCATCGCCCATTCATCATAGCTCATTCGAGCAACTTTGGAAAATATTTTATGTATCGTGATGAACGACACATTTTAATTATTTTATGATGATTTTTCTCTCCCCATTGGCGAAATTTGTCTGGGATTTTTTTTTTTCAGAGAAAAAAGTCATTCACATCCTTTGAAAGAGGCACTAAATCAAAATTCTGCACAATTTATTCTTTTTTGGCCAAATGCACAATTCAAAATTCTACTCTGTTGCGTGATTTTCTCTTCTGGGATTATGTGCTTTTTTTTTTTTTGACAATTGTGGTGTAAGTTTCAGTGTGATGACTTCCATGAAGTCTTTTCGTTATATAAATGGCATAAAAAATGGATAACCGCGTGATATTTCTTATTGTCAATTCTACTAATAATGTTTCCAAGTCGTCCCATCTTTACAATAGAAAATCGTGTCATGAATTGAATGCATGCAATTCTTACCGTTTTCAATTTCCAAAAGCAAATTGAATTACGGATATTTTTAACTACATCTTTTTCCCCCCAACATCATGAATAAGAAAATACCACAGATATAATCTATTATATATTTATATCCTTTTAAAGTTAGTAGATGTTTGGTAAAAATTGGGGACAATTATGTATAAAATAAAAATAGAGGGTCAATACTCGGTGATTTTTTTTTTTTTAAAATGTTTGCAAACAAAACGAATCCTATCTGGGCTCCATGAATGGCATGGTGCTTAAAGAATAATCAACACTAGTTTATGACACAAATAAAATAACTTATTATAAATTTTATATTTTATATTATCAATTATCGAAGTCTTATACACACACCTTCACTCATGTATTGAAGTCAAAGTGAATTAATTTTATTTATTTTTTAATCCAGAAATGAATAAATTAATTCAGATCGTTGAAATTTGAATAAATATTTGAGCTCTGAAGTTTGATTTTTGTGTATAAGAAATCGGACAAAATTTTAGTAAGGCCTGAAAATAATAAAGTGTATGTACAATTTCTTATAATACTTAATATAACCAAAAAATATAAAAATTGCGTATAACTTCCATAAAAAGAAATTGTTAATTCCTTTCTTTCCTTTCCTATTCACATGCGTTCCACTCTCCAAATTTGTGAGCGAAAATTTAAAAGATAATAACCCATTGCTTAAACATTATTGAAAAATAACAAGTTTATATAATTTTTGGTTTCCTAAGTTTGTTCTCATTCTCGTTTTAGTCTCTGGGTTTCAAACTATAAATTTTAGTCTCTCAAAAAGTAAAATAGTCTTTTTTTTTTTGGAATAATATGGATTAATGTTTTAAATAGAAAAAAATTTCAGAAATTAAAACTTATGATTTAAAATTTAAGAGACCAAAACTAAAATGAAAATAAATTTTAGAGATAAAAAATTATATTAATCTAAAATAAAAGGTAAACGAGCATTTAAATATGTAATAAAATTGACAACCACATTTTTTTTAACGGTCAAGCCTTCCCATCTTAGGGAGGTAAAATTAGAACATTAATACATTCATTTTCATGTCATTTTTCCAATCTCATCTTCATTTTCAATTCCCACAACCAAATGGTTTGAACATTTAAGAAAGTAAAAGTTTGGGGGATGTTTTTAATTTCAAAGGAGAATGTCTGAAGATTATTCAAACGTAAATCAAGTATTTATTTATCGTAATGAAATGGAGTCATTTTTTTTATTTTTACCTATGATATTAGCGATGTACTTTTTGTATCTTGAGTTACGTTGTCATATAAAAGTCCAGTAGAATTAGATGTGGCCTTCCAAAATACTATGAGAAAATCTATAAAAAAAACCTTTAAAATTTTAAAATTTTAAAATATATTGTCATTTACTTTTTTTAATATTATCAATTGTTATTAAAGTATAGTAAATAAGTTTGTTAAAAAAAGTGTGGTAAATAAGACTGAGTTAGAATTTTGAAATTCAACAGTATTTTTTTAAAAATTCTCTCAAATACTGTTATTTTTTTCAACTTCGTTTCTTGCCAATTCTTAGGTGCTCCTGAAGTACCAACTCATCCCAACTCTGTCCAACAAAAAATACTCCAGCACAATTCTCATTGAGGAGATAAAAGGGATGATCGCATGAAGTTGGAGGTTTGACTGCCAGCTTATTGCTAGAGATGATAACCTCATGGCAGACGCTCTAGCAAAGAGAGCCCTGAATGATAACCCGAGTTTCCTTATCCTGGGCCCCAACAGTGTTCGCAATTTCTTGGACCTCGAAGGAATAGGATAGTCATGTTTTTTTCTTTGTTGCTTTTGATTTCCCTTGTATCAAAAAAAAAAAAAAACTCCAGCACAATTAATTTGAATCCAACATGTGAGAAATTCTTAGGTAATCTCGATGTGCCAGCTCATCTGAACTCTATCCAATAAAAATAATCCACTTCAAATAATTTTTATCTACCTGTCATCCCACTCATTTCCATTAATTGTGTTTTTGAAGAAAACGAGATTGTCTGGGGCTCGTGATTCCTTTACTGCCCTTCTCTCTCTCATTTCTCTATCCTTCTCCCGTCTCAAACCCTATCTCTTCCCTCCCTCCACCTTTTCATTCTCTTCTTGGATGCCGGTGACAGCGGCGGAGTCTTCCACCAGTGACGGAGGCGGCATCTTCTCCCCCAGTGACGTGCGATGTTTGACCTGTGATGGTGTTTGGACTCTCGACCAGTGACGGGGAGGAAAATCCACTTTGCGGATCTGAACAACACAGCTGAATGAATGACTGTGAGATTTTCCACTAGCAAAAACATCTTTTCAGTCTCCACCAACAACAGCCGACGGCGGTGAGATCTTCCACTATGTAGATCTGAATCGAAGAAGCTGCTGCTTCTTCATTGTCTCCTCTGCCACTTGCGATGTTGATATGAACCCATCTATTTTTCTGGGTTCTTGAGTGTTCATTATGTTTATCTAAACCTATTTATTTTTCTGGGTTTTTGAATGTTTATCACGCCTGAAAATAGTTTCTTATTTGTATTTGCTTTTTTCATCATTTTCATTCTTGTTGTAATTAAATTTATGGGCTTTTCGATGTTCATGGCTACTCTGGTTCTTGGAATGGAGTGTAAAACCTATTGTTGTTTATTTTAGTATGCAAATTAAATAAGTTGCCAAAGAAATTGCTCATTCCAACCAGTAAATAATCTGCCTTCTTTTCATAGAAGTTCAAGCTTCTTGTATGAAAATTAGTATTTCTCTTTTGCTACTCAACTTCTGTTTTGATTAAACAGTCAAGACTAAGACATAAATACAAAGGAATAAGGAATAAGGAAGTAATATAATACAAATTCCTAAGAGATTAGGCAAGGGTCGTCGTCGCCGGTGGAAGATTTCTTGGCAATCGGCATCAGAGAAGAGAATGGGGAGATGAAGGGAGGAAGGGATGGAGTTTGGAACGGGATAAAGAGTTAGAAATGCTGAAATGAGAGGGAGAGAAAGAGGGCCATAAAGGAATCACAAGTCCTAGGAATTTTTAATTTTTTTTAAAAAAACAAATAATAGAAATAAGTAAGCTGACAGATAGTTAAAATTATTTGAGGTGGATTATTTTTATTGGACAGAATTCAGATGAGCTAACACAACGGGAGTACCTAAGAATTCTCTCCAACATGTCAGCCAACTCATTTATATTAATTTGTTGTTTTAAAAAAATAAAAATACTTTTGTTTTTTAATTTCCTATACTACCCTCTCCCCTGGGTCTCACTCCATGGCTTTCGTCTCTTTTGGTCTCTTCGTTCCGTCACCAAACTCTCTCCCTTCCTCCCTTCATCTCCCCATTTTCTACCTTGTCTCTCCTCTCTTCTCTTCTGTACTGAGACAAAATCGAAGCTATAGCTTCTCCAGAAAAAGACTAGTCATAGTCTTTGCCTCTTTCAGCTATGGTCCCTTTTGATGGGGAAGATGATGAATAGTAGCAGCGGCCTCCCAAACTCGTCTTCCCTCTAGTCGTGTACTTGTTCCCTGGCTCAGCTTTCCTCCTCTTTGGTTCTCGTCGGCAGCTCGCGTTCTCATCAGCTTCCCTGTCGTCCAGGATGAGGACGATGAATTAAATGCTCAAAAGATCCCCAATGCTCCCAAGCAGCCTCCAAACTAGTCGTACCTCATAGCTCCTGGTTTAAAGGCGTCCAGCTCCTCCCTTTCGTCGGCGTTCTCTTTTTCTCGATGAAGGGAGGAGGTGGAAGAGTTCGGAGACGCAACTGGGAGGCAAGTGAGAGGGAGTGAGAAGAGGGAAGAGAGCTGACGTGTAATGAATTGAGCTGGAGCATTTTTATTGGACAGAGTTGGGACTCTTGAGAGCACGTAAGTATTTCTCGTCTTCACATGCCTTATATGTGTGTGCAACGAACTTACAACGATGGATTCATTACACAATTAAATTATTTATATTCATACATATATTTATATGTTGAGCCCTTTTATCTTTTTTATTACATAGATCGTATTTTTAAAACCTATACAAACATCTCTCAGAATCAATACTCATAGAATACAAAAATCCTTTCTTCTAACCTTCTATTTTTATTTTGTAGGCGTCAGCAGCTAAATTCTCCAAAAAATTAACAGATTTTCCAACTTCTTTATTATGCTATGTATGTCTTCTTAATGGCAACACCAACAAATAACTGGTTAATTCAAACTGTGTCTTATAAACATTATCCTTAAGAGCTATCCTGTAATTATTGGCAAAGCAAGAAGCGGTACTCCTCAATATTAAAAGGATTTTTTTTGTAAGAATAGGATGAACAGAATAACAAAAGATAAAATAACTCAGCAAGACAGAACACAAAAGAGAGAAGAGAGTTGCCTAAAACTCAAAACAACAGGTCCCATGAACTTTAGCCTCATGCCTCTTTTGTAGGCCACGCATTAGTAATGGCCACACTTAAACAGGTTTAATGCACATTACGACGATCATAAACACAAATAGTCAGTTTTAAGTAGTCATTAACTTGTTTAATAATTATTTAGGATGAGTAAAACCTTCAATTACAAACATTAAAGAGGCATAATTGTATAAAATTAGATATTAATTGGATAGATATTTTTTAATAAAGGTGCCCAATTTTGCATTTGATTCGTGCACAAGGAAGGGCGAGTGGATTGAAACCTAGCATCCTAGCCGCTTCCTTTGCATTTTGCAATTTTAGTTAATTTTTTTTACCAATTTAGTTAATAGTTAATTACTATCATACGCTTGAGTTTTTTTTCCCTCCTCATGTAGACTAATCATCCTTCCACTTGGATTGAAACCTAGAGTCCTAACCGCTCCCTTTGCTTTCCATTAATATCTCTCTGCCCTATAAAGAGCTCCATTCTTTTTAATAAGAGACAATTACTCAAATTATATTATTCAAAATGTTAGTTAAAATTAGCTGAAGATAATAAATATGTAAAAAGTGTAACCTTCTTGTCAAAAATACCCTTATTTATGTGAAAGAGAGATAATGTGTGGGAGAGGGAATGTGTGGGTATTAAATGTAAGGGAAAACCATATTGAAGGTACCTATACTTTCTCTCAATTTTTAATTTGGTATCTATGTGGTTTTTCTCTTTAATTAAACATTTAATTTTATCTTTTTAGCAACATTAGCTCTTATAACTTTGTTCTATTGATATTTTTAGTCTCTACATAAGGATTAATGATGTTAATAGAGGAAAAATAAAGATTTAGTTAAGAACAAAAACACATAGGTGCCAAATTTAAAATTAAAAAAAGTATAGGTACTTCCAATATGGTTTTCCCTAAATGTAATGGTATACTCTTCTGGTGCTCTTTATAAGACAAAGAGAGAAGTTTTTTTGGTCTTATTTATAAGTTACTTTATTAAATTTTGAACATTAATATATCATTTTATCCTTTGTTTATTATAGTATAAATAGTTTTTTTTTTCAAAGGAGTATATGTTAAACATAAGTAAAGTTGAAAAGTTACTATATTTTAATGAAGAGTTAATGCAGTTTAAGGTTTTTCTTGGTCTTTGTGAAATATGTTGGAAGTACCTTATAAATAAGATCAGAGGAGTAAGTAATATGAGTAATTAAATGGAGGTAAAATAAGAAATCAACAAATAAAATTTGAGATAGCCTCTAAGAATCTCTTGTAAAAAAGGACCATGGCATAATTCATAATTGTCTCTTATAATAAGTATTTCCAGAATTTTCAAAGATTTTTAGACATTCACTTTAATTTGTTTTTGGTGACGTCCTTAACCTTTTTGCTGAACATTCTTAATTAATGATTAATTATTATTATTATTAGTTCATGAACAAAATATCATATTGTTTGGCCGTTGCGTGTTTCCCCAACCCACCGTTTGGTGAAGTCAATTAAGTTTTAGGATTTTTTTCAGCACTATAATTTTTAGCATTAATTTAGCTTTTGAATTAATGACTTTTCTCAGGAGACCGGAGCTGCCGTTGTTTTTCAACAACCCATTAAAAAAAGACAATAAGAAGAAAAGGGAAAAAGAGAAGGAAAATAAATTCAAGCTGGTGGGAAAAAAATTATTTCATCATCTTAGTGGGATGGTATACGATGACTTCCACTTTGTGCTGTGCCCAGATACTGTTAATTTCTTTTTCATCGTCTTCTAATTTTTTTAATGGCAGCTTCCGTCGCTTGAGAAAAGTAATTCCAAAGCTAAAGTAAAGTTAATGTTAAAAATTGCCAGGAAGGTCTTAAAAGTTAATTAGCTTCAGTGGGTTGCGAAAACACGCAATGACCAAAGAATATGATGTTTCATTCATTAACATTAATAATTTATTAAGGAACTTCTGGAAGAAGTCAACTATACTATCCCAATAACATGAATTTTTCCCCTCGGCGTGTAATTTACTTCTGTTTTTTCTTTCATGTCCTCTCTAATTATTTTAAGGATGAAAGGACATTTGCCTTTCGACTATTTCGGGAGTGGCACTAATTATTAGTACAAATTAATATTTTTGGTCCTTAATATAAGAGTTTATTTGACTTTTATTTTGGTTATAAATATAAAATCTCAATCTACTTTATCTATCATATTTATTCATTTTTTAAGGTAGTCCTAATTTGACTTTTATTTTGGTTATAAATATAAAATCTCAATCCACTTTGTCTCTTATATTTATCTATTTTTTTAAGGTAGTCTTTATAATAAAAAAAATGCCTCACGTGCTACATAGTTCATGATGTAAAATCCTCTTCGGGTCCCTTCTTTAATAACAAAAGCCTACACTGAAACACAAAATTGTAAAATAATTGAGAAGCAATGGCAGCTCCTGGCTCTTGAGAAAAGCCATTCAAAGGTTGCATTGATGAAGATAATTGCTGGAAAATCCTAAAAATTTAATTAAACCATGGAACACGCAACAACCAAACAATACGATGTTTCATTCATTACCAATAATAATTTATAAGGATGCTTCCCCTATATATAGAAGTGTCTCCTTTATAACTCGAACCAAAAGAGATCTAGAAAGACCTTACATTACTAGACCAACTCTTTATTAGTATAATTTCCTTCATTCTATATGCTTATGTAATTGATCTAATTATTAAGGGGGAAAAAGCTAAAGAACCTCTGAATGATGCAATTTTGATATTACACGAATGAATTCCCTCTTCATAACAAATCAATGGATGGAACCCACATGGAGGAGCTTCTTAATTACTTTCTCATTTCCTAATTATAAGATTCTTTTTGTAGTCCAACTT